AACAGTGACACATTATCCTTAGACAATATACTAGATTTAAAAGCAAAAGTACTTCAAGCATTATTGGAGTCGGAAGTATTGAAAAATTACATTTGCAAAAAATTACAAGCACCATAAAAAACAAACGTAAGCAAGACAAATGCCAGACTTACACAGTATGTAGATGAAATATATTAATTATAATATGAAACTATTGAGTTCAAAACTGCCTTTGACCCATACATTTTATGCAGACTTCTTCCAAGCCAACAAATTTTAATTCCACATTGCAAAGTTTTGAAAACTATTAATATTCCATACATTATAATGCAGAGCACTTCTCCCCACCATCTCTACCAAGACGTATTTATTAAGCGATGACAGTTAACTTTCACAAGACTCTCAGGGAGATCTGGTCCTTATTCTGTGAATTTACAAAAACCGGGCTGAAAGTGCCAGGAAACACAACTGTATTTTATTATTATCTAAATAATGAATTTGTGATGGCATTTTTCTCTGAAGCAATGGTAAGTCTTGCAGGCAAATGCCTCTTTCAGTAAGTGTTTGAAAATTATTTTTGTTTAAATAACAGCTGGTCTTGCCTATGTGGACTTAAATGAGCCATGTGGAGACAAACTTGTTTCAGTTTGGGTAAGAAAGATTAAAAAACATTAATTCCAGTTAATATCCATTTTGGTCCCTCTACACAGATGGGAGAAATAACATTAAATTACCGTGCTTACATACAGTCAATACCAGACACCCAATAAAGCTCAAATTCAAAGCCTTGCTCATAATGCAACTGATGCACACGGTTCCAGCAGAACAGCTCAGCTGCTAGTTAGCTTGAAACAAAGGAGATTTACATTCATTTCTCCACTTTGCCAGAGACTTCTTGTGTGACCTTGGACGACTCACTTGGTTTTTGTGTTCTGTAACTCCCCACCCTAAAAATGGGGAAAAACATTTATTTCATAACCTCAACAAGCAGATTTGCTATAAGGAGATCCTTAAATACATAGATCAAATACATGACACAAAGTGAATACAGAGTACCTAAAGCTTTAAATAACTTCTCTTAAAGCTTTGGAAACTTTATCACAGGGACAGAAAGCAAGCTTTTTCACAATACAAGTGTCTTCAACAAAGATCAGGACTGCCTACATATCAAGATGGAACCATATTCTGACATCTGTGGACAGTCACAGACACATACTTCCTTGCCTCAAAGCAAAGACATGACATACTGCTCTGTCACCAACATATACAGAAGATCAAAAGTAAAAAGTCTCTAGATACCTTCACTGAGTCCTAAAACAAGAGTTATAACTTTTTGATATAACACAAAGTAGGAGAAGAAATCACCAGGTACACTCTTAAAAGATTTAAAATACTTTAGGTCCAAACAGTCATTCTCCAATTTACATTAATCACTAACCACCTTTTGAACTTGAAAGCCACATTTAACTTTCATAACTCAGTATTAATATCAGAAGTCAAACCAACTTGCAGAAATTAAAGACCTCTAGAGCAGCAGACTACTGAAGGTGATGAAGAGGACTTAAATCCATTCAGAAGTAGCTACCACACATACATTACACTAGGACACTTACGAGGACAGCATTGCTGCCATCAGGAACCCATGATTTCATGACATGTATTAAATGTATCCTTTTAGAAAACGTCTTCAAGTCAAAAAAATCTACTTTTTGAATGCAGGCCAAACAGAGACTGTGTTTCCATGCACATATTCTGCACCTCTGCACAAGTAACTGCACTAGCCTACACAAAATCAAAATCACAGCCTGGGGAGGGAGACAGGAGGGGTAAATGGACTTTGAGAGACAAAGTAGTAAAAGAGAGACAAGTACAGGTAAGCTTTTGGGGGACATAGACAAGCTATGGAAAACCAGAAGCAAGGAAAGTACTGAGGAGAGAGGAAGTTCTGGGATAAACTTCCCCTCATATTACCCACATATGTCTAAAACCCACACAGCTGCTCAATCACAGGGTGTTGAGTGTGTTTGGGGTTTGGGTTTTTTGGTTTTTGTTTTTTAAACAGATGATCTGTGGGTTACACACAGGAAAATACAGCCACTGCAAGCTACAAAAATAAAAATGTAACATTTGGTTTTAAGCTTTTTTTTTTTTTAAATATCAAATGGTTGTCATTATTTGTAATTGCATCTTATATGTGGTATTTTATAAGAAGAAAAAAATCCCAGCTCTTACTAAAAATCATTCACAACCTAAAGCTTTGTCTTTCAATATGCAGAGCTGCTCTGGGATGTGCTAAATATCTTGAACTCTCATTTCTGCAATAAGACTGAAAGAAGAACAGCATTTTGCAATGAGGCCAAAAATTAAAGCACAGCCAGCCATGAACTGCTATCAAACACCGGGCATGGAACAGAGGGAAATACAAAGATGGTGGTGAGGTGTGTAAGAACAGATGTCCAGAAAAAAAGATTATGACATTTCCAACATAACACAGGATACAGTTTCAGATGCACATTTTCAAATGTGACTTCTGATGCTGTGGCACCCCTGAAGTTGACAACAGAACAGGTAGTACTTGGCATCGTATATAACTCCCTGAATATGTAACTTTTGAGATTAAACTTGCAGGAGAGAGTGAGATCTAAAAGGAGAGGACTGGCCTCCCCTCCAGTGACACCTGAAAAACATCTGTAGAGGCACAAAGACAGCAGAAATATGAGGGGCTGGAGGTCAGAGGAAAGGTGAGAATAAGCAAAGTCATAAAGGCAGGAAATTGAAACTAAGTTCTCAAACTATGTATTTAATACCTCCCTCACAGCATGCCAATAATGTTCATACGAAGGAAAAAACATAAAGGAAAGCAGTGCCACTGTTAGCAGGCTTCCCAAGAGCAAATTTTGGCAACTTTAAACATCACACAGCAACCAGAGCCTCTCACTTGCTTAATATCCTAACAGTCACAAACTGACTGTTTCTTTATCCACAAGAGGTGAACTTTGCCGATAACAGCGAGATGAGTTTCAGCTATCACAGCTGTGGCAATCAGCACCTGCTCACCCTTTTACAAACCCGCTGCTACAGAAGCAAACTCCCAGTGCTTGACTGCACAACTGGAGCCTTGTGAGCCATAAGCAGAGGTGCTCTCTGCCGCTCTCAGCACTGTCACACATACACACACACACAACAAACCCCTTCACTCACGTTTTCCTACCTATCAACATATTAAGGGACAGTAACAACGACATTGGTTTCATATATTATTTGCAAGAGTTGCCAGCCTTCATCCATTGGAAGGTCAGAAGGAATGCAGAATACTTGTAATTCTACTATGGGTGAAGATCAATCACCACTACTTGTACTAGGATCCAGTTTTTACCATTAGAAATATTTATAAAGGCTGAAACAACACAAACTTACTATGTGGACCCTGAAGTGCATTATCCTCAAAGGTCTATGTAATTAAAAAAGAAAAATCAAAACTCTATTTTGACAGGTGGCCTGCTAGCTCATCCTTACCAGTGAATGAATCCAATTGAAAAAAGGACAAAATAGGGTTCTAATATTATTTACACAAACCTTCAGATGAAAAGCGCAATCTAACATACCCATTCGCTATCACAACTGTTGGACAGATTTGCAAAGTTCAGACTGCAGTCCCAGCACCTTGATCATCCAGACTCACGTTATCTAGACAGCAAGGTACAGTGCCTTTCTGAGCTGTGCTTCTGTGTTTCTTTCCCATGAAAATCAGGTTACGGTGGGAGGAGGAAGGAAAAGCATGTGGACTTCATCCTGACACAGAGCTAGGACGAAGACAAGACAGACGCCTCCAGCCCAAGAACTGGAAATTCTTGTAATATTCAGATAAGTCATTACTGTCCCTAAAACAACATTGTCACAGCTGAAGATTTCCGAGCTCACTGGTTATCTTCCAAACAGCACAAAAATCTTAGTATCAGACTAGACATCACACATCACATCCAGTCCCTCCTTTCATTAATAATGATCCATGGGACTGGTACTGAAAGGGTGGCTCTGGACCTGTCAGGCTAATTCTTGTGCTAATGCCTCTCTGCAGACAAACAGTGGCAAAAAGCTTCAATAAAAAGGTTCACGTACATTTGTGGGCAGCAACTCAATACTAAAAAGACCAATTTGAACAGTTATTTATAAACATAATTTTCTCTGATTTCTGCTATTACCAACATCAAGAGGCATCAAACCCCAGCTACAGCAAGAAGATGGGAACAGAGTTGTGCTTTGGCAACTACAGCGAACACAAACCAGACCAAAAGCGTCTTTCCTCTTGAATGAACGAGCACAACCAAAGATGTTACACTACTACTGTCTCCTCTCCAAATGCAAAGAGGCTTAGGGACACCATGCAATGCCTCAAATCAACCTGCCAGATGTTTTAAAAAAATAGTACAAGTTTCTAAAAACAAGCTGCTCTATAAAGGGCAACAGAATATCCCTGCTCTCTATTTCATCAGCTAAGATGTGTGCTCCTGTGGGGCACCCACTGAGTGACGAATTCATGCTTCTCTTCCACTGTGAGCTGCTGTTCACAACAGAACACTCTGAGCTAAAAACCTCATAGCATTTTACTATTCTCTGCTTCCCTGGCAGGACTCTTATTTATATAAGATTAGTGCAGTCAGGCATTAGATTTATAAACAAAAAAAAACAAACAAGGAGAAAGTTTTCACACTCTTCTTTACAGACCAGTTTCCGAAACATACACACGCAAGCAGTGTAACTTGACTGAAATGCAATTTTTTAAAAAAAAACAAAACAACTTCCAAAACAAACAGAAAACTTATCAAAACACATACAATCTTTAGAGGTGTCCCCACCTGGAAACTATTTAATGTCATCCAAGCATTCACAAAATTACTGCAGGCCACCTAAACAGCCATTCCTCTGCTCCATCGAAAGCCTCTGAAGGCAGTTACAACACACAGGCATACTTCAGCCCCTCACCTTCCCCCACCCTCCTCAGGGAAGGACTCGACACCAACCTGCAGTTGGGAGGTGGATCTAAGGTGATGTCAGCCAATTCCTTCTGAATCCTGTGGCAATAAAAGCAAGAAGGTACAAAAGTAAGTCACTGTGTGGGATAGCAGCTAACACATAGACCTTACAGACATACTGTCACTGAGTTTGCAACAGTACATAAGACAGAGGCACTCTCAGATGAAGCCTCACACCAGTCCAAACCCACTAAGCAGGACAGGTGTCCTGCCCTCCTACAGAGGCAGGTAGAGAAGCACTCAGGCATCATGCACTGAATCCAGACAGGTGCACTGCTGCATGCTCCCATAAAGATGCCAGCCACACAGTGGAAAAGTCTGTCTGCTTTGCTCTGACAACCAGCCTATAAATGAGGGGAAACCTCTGCAAATGTGATGCACCAAGTGCTAGGAGGAAACTGCAGTCTGAAAAGGAATTTTGTCTTAGAGGATTGAGAGAAACAGTCATTGCCAAAGTGGCTCCCCCTCTCCCCCCAGCTTCTCATCACCATCCTGAGAAAAAAAAAAACATCAGCCCTGAGGGAGTCAATAACTGCGCCATTCCCAAGGACACTTAAAGGAAGGTGAATATCTATTTCTGAGGCTCCTGCACATTCCTGCCACCTTCAATTCTCCCCTCTCTTCACCCTCAAGAGCCACACATCCCCAGGTCTCCTCCCTCAGCACTCCAGATGCTCCCTTTCTCCATCGTGTTCAGCCAACACCCTGTACTCCCTGCCCAGACTATTCTGGGCTTATGCTGCTTTTGCCACAAAACGCCCAACCAGCTATCATCCCCTTCCCTGGAGTCCCATTACTGTCACTCAGGCTTCCTTTCCAGGTTTCCCCACCCAGCACTCAGTCTGCCTCCCTTCTCCTTTAAACTCAGACAGCATCTTCTGCCTCTCTTCCACTTGTCACACAAGAACCACAGCCTTTCCACATTAGGCAGTTTAAAATCTTCTTCAAAGAGTGAAGGGCACAACACGTAAACACCATTTGCCAATATCTATGTCAGTTTGCCATGGAAACCTGCTGAATGGAGTTCTGGAATAACCAAACTGCCTAAATTCTACCAAGCCACAGAGAACTTAGTTGCAACAGCAGGGCCTTTGCAAAAAACCCTAGTCACTTTTGACACCTTCTGATACAACCTCTCTGCTGCCTGGCAAAGCTGTTCAGTGAGATGGTTTATTATTCTTACTGAAGTACTGCAAGTTTGCTTGAAAACTTCCATTTGTCAGTTTAGCTCCCTGAAGCAGGATGGTGCTGAATTCAGGTGAAACGCAGAACAAATAAGAAAGGGTAACAATTTATTTAAAAAAAAACAACTGAGTAGGTCCAAGTGAAGAAAACTGATTGAAATTGCTGTTCTGGAATTACTATTCTATACAGGCATCTCTCCCTACACATTATTCTGGAATAAAAATTATTTAATTCTCAAAAAAAACCCAACCCACTCTGTGCTGTGAGCAAAGACTATTTTAAAGCAGAATGTCCACAAGTGGACTGGCTGTAGATTATTTATTCTAGTCAGCATCCAACCATACACAGAAAATTCAATGTAAGTGTTGAGCAGACAAAAATAACAGTAACATATTTGTTGGAAAAGATCTGGGGCTATACTACACCACTTGCACTGGAGTGCCCTCCCCCAATGCAAGCAATCTCAAAACTTCACAAACATTAATTAATCCCCAAATCAGTCCTGGAAAATAAAAAAGCCAGTCTAGATAATTCCAACCTACAGAGAGGGAAACTGATGTTGAAATGCAATGCCTTACTTGGGACAACATAGCTTCCAGTAGCAGAGAAAGAATTAAGGTCTATATGTCAATCCTACACCATCCCGATAACAGATGCCAATAAGGAAAAAGGAAAGACAGCAGAAATAACTGAGGGTCAGAATAACAACCCAGAGGAAGAAAAGACAGGAAAATATTTGGGATGGAACAGAGGAATAAACAGGAAGAGAGATCAGCGAGCAGTGAAGTTGGGCAGAAAGTCACTGCACTGAGACACTGAAAAATGCGAGACAATAGCAGATTCATGTGGAAAGGTTGAGCACAAGGGCTAGAGACGAGGAATGAAAGCAGCAAGGGAGTAGTGGGGGTACAGAGCAAAATAAAACGAGGAAGCAGGAAAGATGCAGTGAACCAGTGAGAAAACTGACTGCAGTCTCACCTCTTGGCACTGGTAGATAGCAGCTTAGAGTTTTTACTCATGCTGACTTTGCTTTCCTTCTTCTTAGGCGTGCTTGTCTCTTTCTCTGTCTGTTGGTTGGAGGATGAAGATGAGGAGGAGCTGGTGCTGGCCCTCGAATCGTCATCCGACATAGCGACCCCCCCACCACACACCCCAACCTGGAGAGGAGACACCATGGGGCGTGGGGAACAAACAGTGAACACAAACACACACAGAGAAAGGCTGCTGACAATCTCGCTCTGTGTTTGGGTCATGCTCCTTTTAAAGGATCCTCATGTCTCCCCTTCCTCTTCAGGCCCTACAGCCATAGCAGGAGAAGCAGTAGCCTTGCCTGCACTAGGAGCACCGAGGAGCAGGAGGAAAAGGATTTTTAAAGCTTCCTCTCAGAAAGCAAGTGCAAAATGAGAGGAGACTGGAATGAGGACGACTGCAAGGATCAGGGAAGCTCAAAGCAATTCCTTCTAATCTCCCCCAAACTGCACACACAAGAGGAGCCATCACCACCCACCACTATCCAGCCTAGGGGTGTAGAAGATAAAAATGGAACAGCTCCGGTCCCTTGGGTTCCCGGGAGGCACGTGGGGGAGGCAGGAAGGGATGGGGCTGGCGAGGTGACCATCGCCAGCTCTAAAATGGAAGTGGGGCATCACTGGCAACACAGGGAAGACCCTGGAGAATCTGTGACCTGTGATGGGGAAACCCCTGCCTGCTGGATAACCCCTGCCTGTGGGATCGAGTGTTGTAAGCGGTGGGGGGAGGGAGCAGGAAGAGGGCAAACGAAGGGGAACGGCTAAGCAGGGAGTGGGGTGCACTGATGGGACCCACCGAGGCCCACTGCACTGAGGGGCATGTGCCAGCAAAGGGGCAAGGGAACAGTGGGTCTGTGCTGGGGGGGGGACGTGGGAGGGAGGAGGGCCAGGGCCTAAGAAGGGGGAGAGCGGAGGGCCCGGGAAAGCCGGTGGCAGGGAGGGGGGCAGCGGGGTGCCAGGGGGAGACAGCACGGCTCACGAGGGCACCCCGGGGACAGGGGGCAGGAGGGCGAGCACGGCGGGCTGTCCGCGCCCGAAAGGGGCGAGAAGCCGTCGGGAGGGATGGGGGGGGCTGGCAGGGCACCCCTGGAGAGTTCGCGGGGGTTAGGGGGGGCGAAGAGGGCAGCCGCGGGCCCGGGGAGCCAGCACACGGCCGCCTCCCCCCCCCCCGGGGACACGGGCCCCCGGGGAGCTCCCCGGACCCCGCCGGGCGAGAGCCGGGGGGGCCCGGCCGAGCTGCCCCAGCCGCGGGCCCGCAGGGCCGGGGGCACAGCGATACCTGACAGCCTCGGGCGCGACCCCCCTGCCCCGCCGGCTGCCGCCCCATCGCCGGGCCGCGGCCGGCCCTGCCCCTCGCTCCTGCCCCCGGGGAGGGCAGCGGGGGGTGCCCCGTCCCCCTACCTCTCCCTTTGTGTCTGGCTGCTCCTCCTCGGTGCGGCTGGGCCTGGCCACTCGTGTCTCTCTCGCTGGGAGAGAAGCGGAAGTGCTGCAACAGCAACTATTAAACAGGCAATGGCTTCCCTGGCTGCCTCCCCCACCGCCGAGCGGGGCTGGGGGGCGGCGGGGCCGGGGCGCCACCCGGCGCGGAGCGGGGGCCGGCGGGGGGCGGGCAGCAGAGCCCCCGCTCCGGGGATGGAAGGGGGATCCCAGCGGCCACGGTCCCCCCTTCCCTCCCCCGCCCCCGGGGAAGGGAGAAAGGGGCGCGCGGAGGGGGACGTGAGTTTTTAATTGAGACCTTCTGAAAAGTAACCTGCAGGGGTGTCGTGGGGGTGGGACAGGCGCCCTCCCCGGCTCCGGTACTGCTTCCGTGCGGGAGCTCCTCGAGGACGCGGTGGAAGCAGGTGGCTGGCAGAGGGGCAGTTCCCGGGGCTGCTTTTTTAAAGCTGAGAGGGGGCTATTAGGCTCGGCGGGGGGGCTGTTTGCTTTCCTCCTATTCTTACAACTGTGTCTAACCCAAAGCTACTCCCCTGCCTCACCTGCTTTGTCCGTCTGGCAGCAGCAGCAACTTCTCACCTGTCTCAGTTGGAAAGCAATAAGGGGGGAAAACAGAAGAGCCCATCCCCAAGCCCCCTCGCCCCCACAAATCCAGGCAAAAGGAATCCCCGGCAGCTTTCCTGTCTCTCACCTGTTTCAGCCCCAAAGCAGCAGCTGTGTCCTCCCTTCCTCTCTCGACTCAGCTCTGAACCAGCAGCAGGAGCAGCCGCTTCCCACTCGCCCTCGCCCGGAGTTCAGGATTCCATTGTCCCCCACACTGCATTTGGTGACATCACTGACACACAAAGAAGGGGCACTTCGTGATGTCATCAACGCATGCTGGGAGAGAAAACAAAATCCTGGGCTTGGCAGCGACAGCACGAACACACACTCCCACACACGCACCCCCACACTCTTCAATTTTCCAAAGGTAAAATTATTAGGGATCCCCCCCCCCCCCCCCGAGTGTCCTGATGAGGAGCCCGTCTGCGGGAAAAAGCGTGTTGTATTCGCTAGCGTGTTTGTATTCGCGAGGCGATTTACTCATCTCCCCGAAACCTGTGCTGTCCATCTCTCCCTCCCTGTCCACCCAACGAAGAAAAGTGATTTGGCTGAAGCCACCCACCACCCCCAGCCCAGGCGTGGGCGAGGGGCGCCCACCACCCCCAGCCCCGGTGGGCAGCCGCGGCTTTTCCTGGAGGTGCCGGACCCACTCGTGAATGGACAATGGGGACCGGCATTCCCACCGACCTCACCCGGGGCACATTTGGCTTGATGCCTCCAGTTTCCACAACCTATCGAGGTATCACCTATCGAGTTACTTGGTGTCTTCAGTGGCCGAAAATACACTGCACTGTCACCACCACGCAATAATGGATCGGAGTCCTCCCACGGGAGGACCTCGAGGTGATCCGCAGGCACACACGACTGGCTGCTGGCTCGACAGGGCGCTGTTGCGACATGACGCCTGGGGAGTCCCCAGGGGTCAATTACAAAACCGAAGCCGCCGGAGCGGCGGGGGACGGAGGCGGGGGGACACCCCGAGGCTGGACATCTCCGCCTCACAGCGACCGGGGGCGGGGAGTGGGGGCAGCCGAGGCTGGCTTCTCCTGAAGCCCGGGCTTCCCATCTGACGCTGGCAGGTTCTGCCCGTTCCCGGGATGCCAAGATGGCCCCAGCGGGCGGCGGCTTGCGGCGGGCCCTGGTCCGGCTATGGGAAGCCTTCCCCATTCCCCGCGGCGAGCGGCCCTCGGGCTCCCGTGGGACCCGGCCCCCTGCCCGCCGGTGGGACTGGTGCTGTGAAGCCAGCCCCCGGGAGGAGCCTGCCCCTGAGCGAGGCTGGAGGCTTGAGTGGAGATGAAACCTTAAAGGCTGGGTTGGGTAATGGGTGCCTGTGGCTTCTTTTGGGGTCAGCTGTCAGCAGGGCTGCCTGGGGATGCTGTGCCCCTGCTCCATGGGACAGCAGCTTCACACTTTGTGACTCAACACAAGGATCTGGTCGTGGCACTGGTCTTTCACCTAATCCTTGAGTCAGAGGTATCCCTAGAGGGGACATCCATGCGGGAACAGTCTTTCCCCTTGTTACCCTCTCCTCTATAGCACTGCATATGCTGCTTCTCTCTCCTTATCCTCTCTCTTTCTCTCATTTTCTGCACATATCTCAGCAGCACCTAATTTCCTCTTGATCCATCCCAAAACTACCTACACTCCCCAAACTTGCTGCCCAACCTCCTGGTTGAGCCATGCAGTGTGTTAAGCACATACACCCCAGTGACACTCCGAGTGTCACCCTGAAAACAGAAGGAATTCCACTGGAGTGTCAACCTTAAATGGTCTTTGAGTGGGGAGTTTTGATTTTGGAGCTTTTTTTTTTTCTGCTAACCCACCTCTTCAGTCTTTATTACCTGTGGTACCATGTATGAGGCCTCAGTGAACTGTCCTGCAAAAGCAGTTTGCTAGCAGAGACAACCTGTCTAGTTTGACCTGTAGGAATAACACTTAGGAAGCCGTGGTCATTCTTCCCTCTAGTAACTGGAGCTTTGACATCTCCACCACTGACCGTGGTCTTGAAGACACGTAAAACTTCATGAAAAATGGCATTTAGATAAGGTGGGTGATCTGATGGCTTCATACCCCTCCTCGACAAAAGGGGGGTAGAATTCAGCTCCTGTAGACTTAACAGCAACCAGCTGCTCTGTCAGCATTCTCCTAATTGACCCAGGGGGCTGTGGAGGATGGGGCTGGCGGTATGGTGGTATGTGTCAGGTGACAGATGCAGAAGATGAGAGGACACAAAACAAGGTTACCAGGCTTCACAAATTTTACTGCTTATGGAACAACTCTTTTAAAACAGAAAATCTTCTCTTTTGCCGCAAACAAACCTCCAGCCCTTTCCTGTCATCACAGGAAACATGCACCAAAGTCAAGTCAGACAAATGTTATTAATAATGAAAGCCCTCCACTTCTGTAATAAGGGGCAGGGAAAATGTAAAGAGTGCTATAAAATCACACAGGCACTTTTCCTATATTATGTTAATAACCTTGGTAGGGGGTTATCTGTAAACTAACCTTTTCTGCAGCACGCAGTCCTTGGTAACCCTGTTCAAAGTAATAATACGATAACCAGCAGCAGCAGTTATTTACTTTGAAGCCTACCCAAAAATGCTTTTGCTGAAAGCACCTACTAATGTCATCGCTTGAGCAGCTGTTACAGTGGCAACTCCCATATTATGACTCACCTTCTAGGTCATGGCTAGGATCAGCAATGGGCTGTTCTCCTGTGCTAGCCATGCCATACCCACAGCCGTGGAGAGAGGGGGGGCCAAGAAGCCGACTTCTGTGACCAGAAATGTTTTTGCCTTGCTACCATGCTTGGCCTCTCACCTTTGCATGGACATGGAAGAACTGCAAAAGAGTGTAAAACATGATCATCTTTTCCAGCAAATAGGAGAACTAACTCCTGTAATCAATCTCATCCCATCTTAGGAATTTGGACAAAACCTCACTGATCTGCTTGTATTTCTTTCCTGTGAAGTGTGTGCACTTTATTGGGTGAGCTTTCCTTCTTATCAGTGCTTCCTCTCGCTGCATCCTTACTTTTTTTTATTTTCTTGAACGAGTTGTGCAAAGGACTTGCAGAGCAAAACTGACCCAGATTATTCATTTTCCCTGTGCCCCAAGCCTTTTTAATCGATGGCACTAGCTCAGTGTAGCAACTGAATAGGATTAGTCACTTTTCCCTCTGGATCGAGTTTGGAGGAGGCTGCAAAGATAGATGGCTGAAATCAAGTTGCCTTTGGGGCTTTGAGCTTAATTCACAACAGAAGGTAGCCAATTCAAATCACTCTGAGCCTTCCACTAAGGGAAGGTGACTAGGATTAGTCCCTTTGTACCATCTCAGTTCCAAATACATTTTCAGCATTATTTCTGGCTGGTCTGTTTGGGTCTGAGCCAAAGCCCCTTATATTTCCAGCAATTCCAGTGAGTTTTGCATCAGACCTTTTGTGGGGAGCAGAAAGAAATTATCGTATTTTTGTCTCTCCTAATGTCAGCTTGCTGGTAATGTCACACTTACAGGTGACAGCAGCAAATCCAGAAACATGCTGATACCTTACACAGCCCTGGGATGACACATTTTGTCCTTTTTGTGTGCCCCTATGATACAAGATGAGGTGGCAAGGAAAGCTACAATAAGCTCAGGATTTTCAACACAGCTTTTGAGTAAAGCTAGACAGAAACTCTGAATTGGACCAAAAGAGGAAGGAACTTCATTCAAATGAGATAAAATGTAACAGAGAAACCAAAAGTGGCTTATTTATGTGACATAAGGTAGTGAATTTACAGTCTCACCCTTTGGTTTCCCGCTCACAACTATCTTGCCACAACTTAATAATGCTGTCCAACTTCCCTTGCTGTAATTTTTTCACACAATACAGCTCTTAGTCCTTAGAGTTTTATCTTTTTCAATTCCTTACAGAAGAATGAAAGGATCCACAAGCAGAAAAAGAATTGTTTCCTCTCCTTTTATTCCAGTACCAAAGAGGACTCAGTTGTGAAGGAAAAGTTTAGATCTCATTGTCAGACCCTTGCTGCTTGCTACTTGGTTTTGGTTCTGTTAGAGACTAGTCCCGGGACCTATCTGAAGGCCTTGTTGTGAGACTGTCGTGTGGGCAGAAAGACTTGAGACCTGTTTCATGTTTTGACCTTGTTAAAGTCCTGGCTGAACTCCCATAGACACGAAGAGCAGCTGGCAATTAATTCCAAATGCTTAAGCAGAGAAGTATAGCAGCATATAACTATACATATCTTCTGCCTCTACTGTGCTTCTTTTATGCCTCTGCTGGTATATGGTCTGGTTCGTTTTGGTAATTGAAAAACTGGAGATGCTTAGATCAATTAAATTTTGCAGCTTCATAAGAAGTTTCATCAGATATATTTCCAGGGAGTTCTGCCTTGCTTCCAGGTGATGAGACTGAGTCTTAAAATTGCTTTACCTTGAAGATACAATGATTCACTTCTTTCTCGGTTTACCCAGTCTGTAGCTAGTACTTAGCGACCAGGACTGAGAGCTGTGTGGTGCTTCCCCTGTCTATGTCTCTAGCATTGATTCCATATTTCTGATCTTCATTTTCCATCCTGTAAAAAAAGAGAGTGATGTTCATCTGGAGTTAGACTGAAAGTGTAAATAGAGGTGCACATTCAGACTTCATCCCTAGCCACTCATTAGTCTTTTTTGTTGCTTCCTTTTTGTGCTTGATGGACTTCCTTTTCTGCAGAACAATGCTTCTCCTCTATGCTTCCTTTGGGCTTTGCAGTAGCTGGCTCTGCTTTTCTTCATAGAATCATAGAATGATTTGGGTTGGAAGGAATCTTAACAATCACCTACTTCGAACTCCCCTGCCATGGACCGGGACACCTTTCACTACACCAGGTTTCTCAAAGCCCCATCTAGGATCTCTGGATTGCTGTATTCCAGACTCCTTGACTTTTTCTTTCCTGGCAGTGCATGCTCCCCTAGTTCAGATGTTTTCCTTGTTTCTGCCTATTTTTCAGTTTACAGGAACTGCTGCTTTTTTGATCATCATCAGCTTTCCATTTCTACATACCACTTTTCCTTGGCAGCAGTACTCAGGTTCTGAAGAAACTCAGAAAGTGGAATACTAGATTAATACTAGATCAAGTAGTAGGTGGACTATCATCAAACAGTAGTACCACAGGAAAGATCCCAAGGTGATGATATTCCTGCTGGCAAGAGCTGTGGGAGAGATGAAAGATGTTGTCCAACATGACCCACACAAACAGACTCCTGTAAGCGGTGGGTCAAACTGCAGCAAATGCAGTACTTTCACCACTCTTCTTCTGCTAGCTTGCAGGAAAGTCCAACTTGACATTTAAACTTGTGTTTGCTTTTTATTTGTCAACACTAAATGGCCAATGGCAATGTCTACTGCTGGACAAAATCTGTAGTGGAAGCTTTCCACCACAGTAGTAAATGGTTAGGTTACGACATGCCTATGCTGGCATAAAGCCAGGCATAGCCCTGTAAAAGCCAGTCTAAAAGACTGGTTTGCCAGCACAAAGTGCACCTCCTAATGTTGCATTTTTTCTGTACTGCTTTATTGCCTGCACAGCTATCCCAAGAGATCTTTTTCTGGTGTAAGCTTAACCTCAGAGTGTGTCTGTCTTGGAACAGAATAGTCAGAGAGGAGAACTGATGGGGATTGGCTTATTAGTAGTGTACACTTACAGTTTATGCCTCTGCTTTTGTAGGGTTCTTTCATAATTTCAGATGAAAAAGGACAGTGTTTATTATATGGTCACCAGAATGTTACAGATTGACCATAGACTCTGAATATGTTCTCTGGAAAATCACTCATTGTAAAGAAGAAGGTCGGCAATAAGACGTATAAAATGTTGGTCAATTGTACTGAATGTGATATTTAAGAACTCAGTAATAAGTGGAAAAAACAATTTTCCTAGTATTTGAAATAAAAGGGTTTTTTACCTTGTAAATAATATTTACACCTACAGTCCTTTCTTTCTGCACTTTCAAATATTTCTCAGTGTCACAGTATGGGTCACTCTGGCCTAGATGGGTTAGTACAAGAAATTCTGCTTTGCTTGCTCATATGCTGAATTGGTAATATTCTAGTTTATTCTTTCTATTAAAAATGAGTTTTTCCATCTGCTCCAATTCTGTGGATTTGTATATCTATGTGAGGAAAAAATCCACGTCCTAACTTCTCAGAAAATGTATTTAGTGAGGATTTCAATTGAGTCTTTCAACCTCTGCCTCCTCATCTAACAAAGGTTCTTCTCAACAGAGAAAGATCAGGAGAGGTGTTCAGGGCTCAGTAATTTCACTCTGTGGCTT